GTGAAAAGCAGTTGAGCAGGTATAGCCGGTTAAATTATAACAAAAAAAATCAAGAACACGTGTTATAAATGATTTAAAACCCCAGTGTTGCTATTTATGACTGTTTTGTGTATACAAGCTAATGCATTGTGACTCCAGCGATGTTAGTGGCTACCATGTAATACGCCGTATCATCAGGTGCGACAGAATTCATGACCGTAATAAAAATTTATTTTGGCGCCGACTGTAAAGGAGACGCTGGAATTCGGGTCTTTATAGTTCTTGCTATATCAAGTACAGTTGTTACAGACTCAATAAAGGTTTTAAGTATAATGCGTGAACGGTGTAACAATATCTTCCGGTACAAAATTCTTAAAACAAAATAGGTTAGTTAATGGTAATTGGTTGACGATAATAAAGATAAGATAAAACGTGGTAGTTTTCAGTGGATGGAAAACGTCGTTCGTGTATTATTATTATTATTATTGTTGTGAAACAATTAAATGTAATGCTTCTAATAAAATTTTACACCACTTTACATCAAACTATTGTAGCATAGAGAACCTATAAAACACATTTAAGAGTGACATTTCGTATGGTACAAACATCAATACGTTTTAAACTTCTCTTCGGGTTTTTTTTTCCGGACTACTTTTGTTTGTTTGTTTGTTGTTAAGTGCAGAGTTGCACAATGGGCTATCTGTGCTGTGCCCACCACGAGTATCGAAACCCGGTTTTTAGCTTTATTAGTTTGCATACTTACCGCTGAGCCACTTGGAGGCTTTCGGATTACGATCACAAACTCATCCTCAAAAGGGAGCATCGTTGAAAACGTTCCTACTCGAAGAGCTTCAGAGGTCGGTAACTAATTATCGGTGATTGTAGTAGTTTATTTTGAAAAATGCTTACCATGGAAATAAGGCGAGACTGCTACATCAGGAAATCTTTTTCAAAATGTATCATTATAAATATATGGAATGAAGCCATTGAACCAGAAATTACTAGTTCTAGCTTTCTTCTTAGCAATTTAAATTGTCTTTTCGACCCTCAGATTGGTGTAAGTCTACGGATTTGTGATGTTAAAATCCAGGATTTGATGTCCCGTGTTGGACACAGCTGATAGCTCACTATGACTTTGCTATAAAACAAATAAACGCTCCTGGCATAGCTTAGTGGCTAGAGTGCTCGACTCGACATCTGAAGGTCGCGATTTCGAATACTTGTCGCTTAACATGCTCGTCCTATATAGTTGCCACCCGGGTGTAAAAATTCCTGACTTACAAAAATACCGGCCGATCCCAAACTATTTGGGATTAGGGTTGTAACGGGGAAGAAATAAAAAAACAATCACTTTGATTCGTGTTTTTCAAAGTCACCCAGACATTCTGAGTGTGAAATGTTCACTCACGGGGCATTTCACGAGGGAAAACGTATAACTTAATTCTTATAGTCAAATGTCGATTGGTAGCTATTGTAAACAATAATATTTTCGTCACTAATTAGAAAAATTAAAAACATAATTCCAATCGGACAACCATAAACAGTAAAATAGATTAAAATCAGATAAACATAAATTAAAAACGTAATTTAATTACAACAGTTTGTTTGTTTCTAGTTTAGCACAAAGCTAAACAATGGGCTATCTGTGCTGTGCCCGCCACAGCTATCGAAACTAGGTTTCTAACGTTATAAGTTAGCAGACTTACCGCTGTGCCACTAGGGGCAAATTACAACAACTTAAATGAAAGCACGTGTGCAGTCTAAATATAATTATTCTTTGTAGTGTTTGTAGCGTTTTTTTTTTAGGGTTTGTTTTTGTATTGAATTTTACGCAAAGCTGCACGAGGGCTATCTGCGCTAGCCGTCCCTAATTTAGCAGTGTAAAACTAGAGGGAGAGCAGCTAGTTATCACCACCCACCGCCAACTCTTGGGCTACTCTTTTACCAACGAATAGTGGGATTGACCTTAACATTATAACGCTCCCACGACTGAAAAGGCAGCATGTTTGGTAGGGATTTCACATGTTTTGGTCAGTTCCTTTAAGTTTAGTAGTCCTGTAAATAGTCCTGGTGACGTGGTAGTTTTCATATAGTTTCTCCCAAAAACTTTTCCTTTTTTTACATGGTTATATTGTTTTTTTTGGTAATTCTCTTTTTTTTCTCATAATTTCTTTCTTTCACCGTGGTTTTTAATCCTCTAAGCTTTTTAGTGGCCTATTTCCTGTCGAATACATTTTAAGGCACGTGCTTGTCACTGTCTGAAAATTGGCGTTGGTCCAGCTCTGTTTAGAAGTCATTCAAGAAAATTATTTTGTAGTTATTTTTTGCTATAGTTTTAATAGTGGAATGCTCGCTAGTCACGCATTCTGTGAGTTTTATCTCAAAGAAATGAATAATAGTGTTTGGTGTGATATAGTGTGAATAATAGTGTATGGTGTGATATAGTGTGAATAATAGTGTTTGGTGTGACATATAGTGCGAATGATATGGTGTGATATAGTGTGAATGATAGTGTTTGGTGTGATATAGTGGAATGTATGGTGTGATATAGTGTGAATAATAGTGTTTGGTGTGACATATAGTGCGAATGATATGGTGTGGTATAGTGTGAATGATAGTGTTTGGTGTGATATAATGGTCTCACTGAACATGTGACATCGTTTACAGACTTTTTGTCCACAACACAAAAGCCACTGCATGAATATCAGTTTCTTTAAATGCTCCTTTTTCTTTTCCTGATTTGCTTTGTGCTTCATTTGATATCAGTATTATTTATCATAGGATTTTTCTCAGTTTTCACAATATATACAACGTCTATAAATAGTTAACAATGTTTTAAAGATTAATGGTTTCAGTAAGTAAACTTTATAGATATCAAAAAGTAGCTATTCCTTGTAGAATCCTAACTGTTTATGTTCAATACAAAACCTTGTTTCGGAATATACTTACACTGAATAACAGTCTTGTCCTATACCTTTCAACGATTGGAATAATATGTCTTTATATTTGGCTGCCCACGTTAATTATTTGAAGAGGGGTGGGTAGGTGTCCTGTTTAAGGCAAAAGTCAGTGCTAATGGAGAGAAGGGATAAACCTGTATTTTCAATGAAAGCTATTCACTTTCACTCATAAGTTATTAGAATTCAGTTGTTTAGAAAATGTGATAATTGAGGAGAACATCGTTTTACAAATAGAAGATCATTAAGAAAAAGATATTTAAAATTATGTAACTTCATTTCCTTATTTGAGAGTATCTTTATTTCACGAAAAACTTCAAACTCTGTAAAATATAAGGATGTTTATATCAAAGTGTTTCTCTTTGTTTTAAATAATACAATTTACCACACCTATTTCTGTTATGAAGCTAGCTTTTGAGTGCCACACTTTGCAAGTCAACTGACCTTGCTTTAAGAGGTCACTTTTTTTACTCATCTTTTAGGTCAATTATAAAAATAATTTATAAAGTTCAAATATTAAGAAAGTAATTAACAGAGTTCTAATAACAGAATAATTCTTGTTGTTTTTATTTGTCCTCTGCACATGACTCTCTCTTTCCGAACATGGTGTCGTTTATGCTAGCCTGGAGATTTTCCTTGAGATAGCGCCCCATTTTTAGATTGAGAAAAATATTTCTCCTCACTAAAGAAAATTAAAGGTACCTGAATCGAGTAGGCGTCATTCTCAACCTACGCTCGTCGTAACTAGAGTAGGAGACGAAGCTGGTCCCTGCCTTGTTTCTAAACAAGGGAATATTCCAGTGGCAACGCCATTAAACCCAAGGTGAGGTTTTGTAAAAACCAGTAGATTGAAAACTTCATGCACGTGGTCCTTGATAACCCTTGTCTCGCAACTGTACACATACACATACAATAGTTATAAACACAAATCACTGCTACCATACATAAAAGAGGCCGATATCCACATGTGGTAGAGAACCTACACCCTTAACCACTTTGTTATCTCTCTGTTACTCACAGGTGCCACGAGCTGCGCGTAAGGGCGTTAGAATCTGTTTAATATCACTATACACATTCGAAGTTGCAGTATGTGATGTGAGAGTGTCTCATTGTGGCTATGTTTTGCACTCCGTTCATGCTCAGGTCAATCGCCATTTACAGTGTCCAATAGCCGAATAAGCACAGTTGTCTTTGTTTCGTCAAAATTTCCCATATTTTCTCTCCAAGATTTTTTCCATGCAGATGATTGTAATGTTTGTTTATTAATGTCATGATAAATATTATTTATTTTATAAAGTACAAGTTCCCTCATTAATGATTTACAATACGTAAGGCTGCCGCCGCCTTATCTTTCGAACTTTAAACCCGTGCGAGTAGCGATTGATGAAGTAAATGTTTGTTTTTCATGAGCTTTTTAGTGTAACATTGTTTTGTTCCCTGGTGGCTTAGTGGTTAACTTTACGACTTATAGTGAGAGAATTCGGGAGACATAGTGTAGTTTTTGTAAGGAAACACGATTTTATTTACTGAAAATGTAAGGCATGTTAAACTACGAGGAAAACATCTATCATTCATATTACATTTTCTACCTACTAAAACAAAGGAGCCCAAGGATGACTTCTTAATAATTCGTGCTCATGACCGACTGACGTGGCCTACATATGTAAGCATGACATCATAAAACTTTAAGTAATGATGACGTTACTCGTTCCTTCTGGAAAGCGAATCTCTCGATTTTATGGTCATGTACATGACCCAATGAATTACAAATAGTCTTATCAGACGTTAACGGTTTTATCATTTAAGAAGAGATCATCTTGGTTATATCTACGAATTACTGTGTCAAGACCGAGATATTAAAACCAACACTCGACATTCTCCTTCTTTGAAATAATAATATACAGTTTATGTACTTACGAATCTGCACTATGAAAACGGTGTTTCAAAAGCAGTCAGAATATTGAGGAAAAGGGGTTATATGTCACATTTTGATTTTGCGCATACGACCGTTTGGAAACAACAGTATTTAAATAAATTATTGTATCAAAAGCATTTATCTATACTTTTCAAGAGAATGATATTTATTGTTATCGTTTCCAACACCATTTAACACATAGAAAGCTAACAAGGACTTGATGTTGATACGAGAAGCCAATCGTATCTTAAATTTCGGATAAGATCAGTGCTTGACCTTCTCGTGTCAAAGTAGAAAATAATAACCATTTTTAACATACATCTGATACAAATAAAGGCCCAGTGGCACAGCGGTATGTCTGCAGACTTACAACGCTATAAACCGAGTTTCGATACCCGTGGTAGGCAGAGCACAGATAGTCCATTGTGTAGCTCTGTGCTTAATCTGAAAAAAAAATTACAAATAGAAAATTATCGTGTAAATAACAGAGTGATATTGGGATAAAAACTACCGTATAAATACAAGGTAAGACCGCCATTATGATAAAAACTACCGTATAAATACAAGGTAAGACCACCATTATGATAAAAACTATCGTATAAATACAAGATAAGACCACCATTATGATAAAACTACCGTATAAATATAAGGTAAGACCGCCATTATGATAAAAAAACTACCGTATAAATACAAGGTAAGACCACCATTATGATAAAACTACCGTATAAATACAAGGTAAGACCACCATTATGATAAAAACTACCGTATAAATACAAGGTAAGACCGCCATTATGATAAAAACTACCGTATAAATACAAGGTAAGACCGCCATTATGAATTTTGCGGTTTTACTTACGTAACAATTTGTCCTACCCTTTAGTGATTCAGAAAAGCTTTTACACTGCGGCAAAAACCAATATTGTTTCCATGAAATACGGCGTTTTTTATACCCTACCTTTCGACTAGTTTAGTGTCATGACTATTCATGCTATTATAACTACAACTTTATAGTTTGTGCTTTCTTTCAGTAATTATTTTATAATCCAATAATTTTCGTTTTGATTATTTCTGAAAGTGTTACTCATTTTCTAGCCGGTTAGTTTTTCAGATAGGTTCAACTGAAATGCATTTATCAACCGTCTGCCATATTACTGAAAAGCTTATGCATGACAAGTGTGTTTATCATGTCCTATATGTAGTGTAATCATGGATAATCCTGGCGCCTTATATGTAGTGCCATCATAAAAAATCTTGGCACCTTATATATATGTAGTGCTATCACAATACATTCTGGAGCCTTATGTGAAGTTATTATTAACTTCTAATCAGAGCAAGCTACCCATACTTAAATCAAAACTAAAACTTAAGTCGATAGTAAATATAGCTATTTAAGCATACTTTTCTTACGTTCTTACTTATAAAGATTAGAATGTATTGTTTTGTCAGTTAGCTATTCTCGCTGTTAACGATATTTTCCACCGTAAACCCAATAAGATCTCACGAGATTCGGCCAGTTTAAGAGGTTTAGGTTCATCCAAAATCCATATACTAAGCTAACAGTATTAAACAATCTCTATAATAAAAGTACAATAAAAATAAATAAATTAAAACTAGCTTTATTAAACATTCGAATCAAGATAAAGTTAGCATTAAAAAAAAGAATATAATTGTCATCACAAATAATCCTGGTACCTTATATGTAGTATCATCTTTCCCTGATGGTGGAGAAATATGTCTGTCAGCTTTTGAAGCCTATAGTTTGTTTACTGATCTCAATCAAACTTGGACATGCACCCTTAGGGCGCCCACGGAGTGACACTAAGATAAACATGACAATATATAGATACATCAACTTCACCTCACTTACTTGATTGTATGTTTGTATGTTGGACATAAATTAACAAATAGATGAAGAACACGATTTACGCATCTTTTCAAATTTGAAAAATTTCAGTGATCACTTCTCTAAATCAGATAATTTTCCTAGTATATTTTTGTATAGATATCATTATATATCAAGATCATAGTAAATACTAGGTATTTATAATGGGAGTTTATACAAATTTTGTATATTTGCATGTGTCTTACAAGAAAAAAAAGATTTATTACAGCATGAATAGACAGGCGCGAATTGCTGAGCAAGGTTGTCGGGAGGGTTTACGAAACATATAAAATGGTCATAAATTCATGGGGAATTGAACCGACATATATATATATATATGTATGTATGTATGGTAAAAATAAGAAGGAGAATTGAACTGAGGCATAAGGCGAGCACGAAAAGGTCATGAGGAATTAAAGTGACTTAAGATATGTCATAGGGGTTTAAAAGAGTATATGAGCTATGTCAGGTAAGATCATGGAGAGTAGAACATGCAAACAAATATGCTCGATTAGGTTATGGAAAGTTGGTAAAACATGAGAATGCTTGGTAGATCTCGATAAGATGAACAGACCACATTCTGGACAAAGTCATAGAAAGTTTAACATAGTTAAACACATGAGAATGCTTGGTAAGATCTCGATAAGATGAACAGACCACATTCTGGACAAAGTCATGGAGAGTTTAACATAGTTAAACACATGAGAATGCTTGGTAAAATCTCGATAAGAAGAACAAACGCACATTATGGACAAAGTCATGGAGAGTTTAACATGGTTAAACACATGAGTATGCTTAGTAAAATCTCGATAAGAAGAACAAACGCACATTATGGACAAAGTCATGGAGAGTTTAACATAGTTAAACACATGAGTATGCTTGGTAAAATCTCGATAAGAAGAACAAACCCACATTAGGGACAAAGTCATGGAGAGTTTAACATAGTTAAACACATGATTATGCTTGGTAAAATCTCGATAAGAAGAACAAACGCACATTCTGGACAAAGTCATGGAGAGTTTAACATGGAACTTTGTCCATAATGTGCGTTTGTTCTTCTTATCGATATTTTACCAAGCATACTCATGTGTTTAAATGAAGCGTTTAGCGTAAACACAAGGTATGTTAAGCAAGATTACAGCAAATGTCTTACACACAAAATTGCAGAAAAAGAGCAAGGGAAGTTGGAAAGAGTATCCGAGATGTCTTTAACAAGATGTTACACAAAAAGTAGAATCGGTCAATTGTAAGAGTTCAGCTATTATTTCATTTGTCATAAAAATGATGAATATGAAACATTACTACCTTAAATATTTCACACCATAATAGTTATTGTACATGCAATTTGATAATATAAGTAGCGTCTCAATGACAACAGTGTCTGTTGTATTCGGTCCTCAGTGGCTCAGCGGTAAATCTGCGAACTTATACCGCTAGAAACCGAGTTTCGATACCTGTGGTAGGATTGCACAGATAACCCATTGTGTAGATTTGAGCATAACTACAAACAAACAAAAAACTGTCGTATCCCAGTTGGACTCATGAGCCCTGGTACTGGACGAAAGGCCTCGTCGGCACTGGATGTAGCAGATATAGTTAGGTATTGTTATATATTATTTTTTTCTTTCACTCATAAGTTCTTAGAATTACATTTCTTTGTCATAATTCCCCAGTAATGATTCGATACTGAAGCAAAGGAAACTTTGATGTTTCTTTTAGATTCCGTACGACAGACATGTTTATCGTGAAGTGCGAGAATTAATTAATTAAAGAGAAAATACCAGACAACAAAACGGAATTGGCAGTTCTTGCGACGTCAAGGTTCGTGAAAAGAACAAGAAACTAACTCATTCGGTTTTAAGTCAGTCTCACTAATTTCACTTAATTGTTATCAAGTTCTGAGTTAGTTATCCGATAGTGCGAGAATGTAGTAATTGAGGAGTAGTCACCTGGAAGCCTAGCTGCAACTCACTAATCGCATATTGTACATGCTTACAGACTGTGATGTTATACCTTTTGTAATCATAATTATATATTAGCAGAGAGCTTGATCGGTGCAAGAGATACAAGATATATAAAGCTTGATAATAAAAGGGTTAATTATTCGCTGAATTTATAAGTTAAGAAACGCCTTGTATTTAAATTACATGGATCCCCGAAGACGCGTGACGATGTTGTAAAACGCTTGATTTTTCTGGGTAGGAAAAGTATTACCAGAACAACTTCATCTTCTGAAGTAATATTAGAAAAGTATATACTAAAAGTGATAGATAACATATTGCTTCTGTATACCTTGTAGATAAGTTCAAGTTACTTAAGCCAGCCAAATATCATTGAGTTAGAACTATTGTAATTATTGGTTACTGTAGCATAAAAACTTAAAAACATCAAACACTTGATAATATCAGTTTTACTATGATAATAAACATAGAAGATCTGATGAAGTCACTACTCTTGTTAACAAAAAAACATGATTTTGTGATGTTAGTACACCATGAAAATACAAACAATATTTTGTGACGTCATTGTACTATTGTACCAAAAATAAAAGATACTGTGATTTTATTTACAACAATATAATCCAGAACAAAATATTTTGCGTCCTTAATATACTTTGTTGTCAAAAAAATTAACGTTAGTATACCACCATATCAAAAACAAGGTTTTATGACGTCAGTATATCGTGATATCAAAAATATCTTTTGAGATCAATATATAATATACCGGGACCGATTGAGATTTCATGCTGTTATTAGCTATATCATACAAAATACTAGAAACGCACATACAATCTGAGCGAGGGACGTTCAACACAGTTCCTACTTCCTTTTCTAGACATTATCAGCAGAAAATAAACCAGCCATATTACCTACCCTTTTGTACAGTTATCTAAGAAACAAACTGCATCCTGGGCCAGTAGCTAAACCTTCATGTGTCTAATAATATTCTAGAATTAGAAAAAATATTCAGTATTTAAACCTTAAGAGGATCTGCTCCAATAACAAATAGTTCGTAAACGCTGCTACGTGACATGAATTAGGAAAGAGACTAAAAAAAATTATTCGTTGAGCTTTGACTTATGAGTGATAACAGCAATATATATATATGTGTGTGTGTGTAAACGTATTAATATAAACCATTTTTAATATATACAACCATAAAAGGTGATCGGATGATAAACCGTAAATGTGACTCATTTTGATCATCGTTTCCAAACTGAATTCAACTTGTTTATTTTTGTCTGATGAAAGATATGTGAGTCAGTTCCTAACATCATTACTACTGACCAACATACACACACACACACACACACACATATATATATATAATGTATTAACATTATGTGATTCAGTTCCTAACATCATTACTACTAACCAACATACACACACACATATATATATATATAATGTATTAACATTCCAAACACCAGACCTACCAGAGGAAGAAGAGTGGATTAGCCTTACAGACACACCTACATCAGGTTGTCCTTAACACGCTTATGAACTCAGCATGGTGGAATGCGTAGGCCAAACAAAGATAAACCAGCAGCTGTTAGTTTTCGCTGTAAACAATTTAGCAGGTTCGTTTTTGCACACCTAGTTGTATGACACGATCTTTAATTAATGCACAGATAACCCTCGAAACTGGACAAGAGAAAAAACAACAACTACAACCTTAATTAATGTCTAACATCTCTCTCTGTTGCTTTGTGTGCAGGATTATTTAAGAAATTTGCTCTTGTTTGTCTGTTGTATACACATAAGTAATTAATTTCAGTTATGTAACATATGGTAAAAAAAACTAACCTTAACCACTCGATCACTTTCTAGGTAAAAGCGTTAAAAACCAGGTTTCGATAACTGTGTTGGGCACAGCACAGATAACCCGTTAGGTAGTTTTGTGCTTAACTACAAACAACAACATCTACAGACATAAAGATAAAATTCTTCTTATTAGAATCATATGCCGCTTATAAATATCAACATGTTGTATCATATGCTGCTTATAAATATCAACATGTTGTATCATATGCTGCTTATAAATAATAACATGTTGTATCATAAGCTGCTTATAAATATCAACATGTTGTATCATATGCTGCTTATAAATATCAACATGTTGTATCACATGCTGATATAAATAATAACATGTTATATCACATATAAAAACAAGATTATTTAAACTGCTTTATGACATTCATATCCTGCAGCTCCAGCGTAAAGTAAGTAAAACTCGGTAATCCCCGTTCATATATATACAAGAACTGTTGATCACAAACTTATCAGGTTTTATTCTGAGTTAGTAATATTTATTTAACTATTTTTAGTTAAATAAGTACGGGTTGTTCATCTAATACACGTATTTCATATTTGTTATAACACATTTTCAGATCACGTTTTACAAATATTTTCAATGGACACGTTTTTTTGCCATTTCAGATTACGACGTTGAACAAGGAAGAGCGAAACAAGTTTCTTTTAACAAACGTTTTTATGCCGTGCATAATTTTTATGGTGAATAAACCAGTATCAAGTACTTAAAATATAAAATTTCTAAACTTTTCTCGCTAGAAGGTAAACATAAAAACGATAATTTTATATCAAATATTCTTTACGGGTACGTTTTTTTGTGAAATAAAAATTTGAAAAATAAAATGTCTGAACTAGTATTTCATGATACAGAAGGCATAACTAAGATGTTATTTTTGTAATTGTTTTACCTAGTAGTTGCCAATAAGTGAGAGTTATTTAGTGATTTCAGTCAATACTCAGTGATATCAGTCACTCTTAGTCAGCAGCTGAGCGATACTCGGTGATATCACTGTTAGACAACAGCTGAGCGATACTCGGTGATATCACTGTTAGGCAACAACTGAGCATTACTCAGTGATATTACTGTTAGACAACAACTGAGCGATACCCGGTGATATTACTGTTAGACAAGAGCTGAGCGGTATTCGATGATATCATTGTTAGACAACAACTGAGCGATACTCGGTGATATCCCTGTTAGACAACATCTGAGCGATACCAGATGATATTACTGTTAGACAACAGCTGAGCGATACTCAGTGACATCAGTCACTCTTAGTCAGCAGCTGGGCGATACTCGTTGATATTACCGTTACATAACAGCTGAGCGATACTCGATAAATATTACTGTTAGACGTTATTCGGTTATGCTGAGCGTTATTCGGTGATACCCGTCAGTGTTAGACAACAGCTGAGCGATACTCAGTAATATTCGTCAATGTTAATCAGTAGCTGAGCGACAGTGACAACAGTCGTTCTTAGTCAGCAGCTGAGTGATACTCGATGATATTACTGTTAGACAACAGCTGAGCGATACTCGGTAACATCACTGTTAGACAACAGCTGAGCGATATTTGGTGATATCACTGTTAGACAACAGCTGAACGGTATTCGGCGATATCACTGTTAGACGACAGCTGAGCGATACTCGGTAATATCACTGTTAGACAACAGCTGAGCGATACTCGGTGATATCACTGTTAGGCAACAACTGAGCGTTACTCAGTGATATTACTGTTAGACAACAACTGAGCGATACTCGGTAATATCACTGTTAGACAACAGCTGAGCGATATTTGGTGATATCACTGTTAGACAACAGCTGAACGGTATTCGGTGATATCACTGTTAGACAACAGCTGAACGGTATTCGGTGATATCACTGTTAGACGACAGCTGAGCGTTATTCGATGATACCCGTCAGTGTTAGACAACAGCTGAGCGATACTCAGTAATCGTAATCAATGTTAGCTGAACTATATTTAGTGATCGAAAATAGGTCAGTAGTCTTGCATAAAACTAGTGTCATAATATTCTATTTAGACTTAAGTTAAGTATTTGTATTACACGGAAACTTCTAGATGATTTTTTTGACTGTAATGAATTCCTAAGCCTTATTTGTTCTCAACTTTAAGTACATTAAGATTATTTGACATAACTGATACACAGTGCTACAGGATAATTTTTCTCTAACTTAGACATTGTTTCGCCAGAGGAAGTACTGATGAGACATGATGAACAACTGACTCAACACCTGGAATTTTCTTGAAAGTTTAAAAATTTATTTAAAAGCATAAAAACTCGAGTTAGTTTTTGAGTTTGTCGATTGTTTAATGAGTCTGTTACAGTTTGATAATTGATTAGTATGTATAGAGTGGTGGAGTGATTTCTGGAATGGCGACTTTTCGTCGGTTTGTCTGTTACCCCAGTTTGGTGGATATTGACTTTGTGTTTCTCTAAGTGCTACAAATATGAAAAGTAACGTAGCTGTGAGAAAAATTTGCAAGTAAATGACTGTTTAGAGTTATTTCTGAAGTGAGACCTATCGCTAGTCCGTGAAATCGGGCAAGTTGTAAAATTGATAGTCCAAGAAATAAAACACAACGCTTTCGTTACCATTACGTAGAGTGAACTTTGTATTGTTGTGTTTGTTTGTTTTTACCGAATAATCCAAACAGCCGAAATTGTTTCAACAATACTACAACACACGGTTTTGTAAGCAACCAATAAGACAGATACATATTAAATAGCTAAAACAAAACTGTATTACATAAGTGTTGCTTTGACACTTATTTCTATTACGGATCTTTGATAGATGGCAAGTGCTTTAAGTAAAAGAAAAACGGAATAAGAAAAAAGTCATCTTTTTTATCAGTTATTTTTATTGTTGTTTAATGATATTGAAGAAGTCTTACCTTGAACTTACGATATGATACTTCTAGTTTGGTAATTCTTACAAAAGTTGTCCAATTTAGACCTTCGTTTCAAACCTCCGCCTAAATTTCTAGCCAGTTCTCGTTCCTTTTATAGAATCATTACTAATATATTGGCTGCTAAAGGATTATTGTGGTCATCGATCTGTGTGTGTGTGTTGACGTGTTATATTCGTCTGAACTTTGAGTTTGAGTATGGCTCAAGGTTTGCTACACTGATAAAAAAAATACATGATAAAAAACAGAAACTTATCTTTGCTTAGCAGCAGTGAGAATTTAGACACAGAGGACCAAGTCTGAGTCTTCTACAACCACAGTAGGAAGTTCAAACATATAGAAGAAGAGAAGTGTTCATGCTTAAAGAAAAACAAGTTTCAACAAGTTCTGTCAGCTTTAAAGTAGGGTGATTAATCTTGTTTCCGTGATAAAGTTACCATTAAGTGTACATTCACGCTTAATGCTGATGGTTCGATAATGGTATGTAGCATTACGAGCATTAATGCTTAGAGATAAGTTGTATCTCATTATATGGCTTAAGTATGTTTCAGTTTACCATATTAGAATTTTCCCTCATTCTAATATGGGCTATTTATTTTCATAAGAACATGTGTCTTTGAGATTCTTTATCGAACTGCAAAGAATAACTTCATTTTTTAGCTTCCCCCAACTTGCGAGGGTTGGGCATGCGGCTATAGGTCAGATGGCTCAAGGTTCGATATACAATATACCGCTGAACATCCTCTGCACCCTCATCTTTGGAGGCGCGATATCTGTGACACTGTATCTTTCTATTGAGTTAAATGTAACCGTGTAGGCGTTAGATGATTCTAACTCCATCTGATCAGCAATTCCAAAATAGAGATGGCTAAGTCTAGATCTTGAGGATTTCTGACTTGGCTGTTTATTCCATGTATCTTATAAGGTGCGTGCAGTTTAGGTTGAAAATGCCATATACTCTCAACATATGACAATACATGTACAGTTTAAAACTGAGAAAAAAGATCCTCTACTTTAACTGGTCCAAGATTATTTATGGGACTTCATGACTGAGCATGTTCAGTGATTAGCATGATCCAACTGTAAATTGAAGAGCTGATTCTTCTTCACTTCTGCACTTGGGTGCCATGAGTGCACTATATGAATGACTGTCAGTCCCTGTAATCAGCCAGAAATAGTATCGCAAAAAGTTGGATGTGGGTGCTGATGACTAGCTGTCATCACAATAGTTTATTAGTTCAAAATTACGGACAGCTATGCGCAAATGACAGCTATGCGAAATTCTGAAACAGTTAAACAAAACTCCATGTTAACTTTTCTATCGTTAGGCTTAAATCCTCATGGCTTTAATATTTGTATTTATATTTTACTTTCATGATGTTTAAAAAAAAAAAGCTGAATGAGACGTTTCCAAGTTTAAAGGCTATTCCAGATTTTGTATCTCAAACACCTGTACATACCACAGGCAATATTCAAATCACTTATAATTACTGAGTTCGGCAGTATTCGTCAAAACAGGCGCTAATGGAACTCCTGCAAAAAATATATATGCGTATATTCTTAAACAAGCGTATGTACAATGACGTTGAAATGGTGTTGGACAAGGGAGTGTTTGATCATCATATGTACTGTCGTTATACTACTCCTGAATACACTCAATTGTTATTTTTGAATGCATAATAATTATAATAAATCTAACCTTGACAAGATTTATAACTCGAGCCGGAGGTTTTCATAAATTTGAATTACAGATCTATCTTGCATCATTTACTCTTGCTTCGAGCACATATCTCGGCAATTAAATTATATTGGTTCTGAAACATATGTATCTGGTCAGTGCAAAAATATAAAGCTATGAAACGTAGTTTCAATTTTCACATGTATTAAGACACGTTTCTTGAAAAAAAAAGAAGGAAAGATGCCCGGATGTTCTTTATGTAGTCTAATATACATTTCATGCTAAAACAAACTTTGATAACCCTCAAGGTACTAACAAACACACAAGAAGTACAATGACTAATAAAAAGAGTTGAAAATGCCGACTTCTAAGTACATCAGACGTAATTAGCCTGACTATCCTCCAAGTAAATTGAGTAATTAAAAATGAATGGCTTCACTAAGAAAGAATCTGTATCCATTAGCTTAGTTGGTAGACGGCGCGTGCGAGAGGGTTCAACCCGAAGACATGCTAATTAAAGGTTATTTACAAGAACATTTTCTGTTTTTGGCGCAGCATGTCCCTTACGTTTAATTTGGACTCTTGAAAACCCACTAAAAAATGAAACAGGCGACTCATCGGGTCGTTTGAAATGTCACTTATGATCTTGTTTTTTATTCTAAGCTACGCGAACAGCACCTGTATCATGACTTCATTGGTTAACGTTTCATTTATAGCACTTATATCCAAGTCTAAAGAAAATTAGCATGAAATTTAAACTTAACTAGCTCGGAATGTTTTTTTATGTGATTTTAATCAGTAAAACTCGTTAGACAGTAAAATATACATTCTTAGCAGCACGAAACATTAAAGTAAATAACTTAGTTATCTCTATAGATAACTTCAATAAAACACTCAAGTCAAAAACAAACGAAGTTAACCTAATGCCTAATAATTCAAACTATTTTCATGGTTATGACACTTTATTCAGTCTGTAAGTTATAAGCCGTTAAAAGCAAAAAATCTAACATTTGGCTTACATATCAATTATTCTAATGGGGTTTCCTAGAGATCATAGAAAGCGATTTTAAGTTTTTCAAACTGTAGATACACGCTTTGTTACTTGGTATTTTAGAAAACAGACAAGGTATGGGCTGAAGTAACATGAATGTTGTTTAACATTCCTTTTACTACAAACGTAAAAATATAATTACTTGCAAAGCCACCGATGTAGGGAGACACGCCCTTAACGACTTTGGGCTTCGAAACGTTCAAATGAGTTTTATATATATAATGTAGTTAGGGTAATTCATTTTCAAGGGCGATTTTTTTTTCTTCTAATATTATTCCACTCTATTAATAACGTAAAAATATTCAGGCTACATGCGTAATCCGCATAAAATACGATGTATTAGAATCAAAACAGGAACATTTTATATTACCTGTACCATAGGTTAAATGATATTGTTTTGAACTTTGATCAAGAGGAATAACAACGTGTTTGGTTGGTGCATCGATTTGATTTTCAATAACAATAAAAACCGTTTGTGTTATGCTGTTACTTTACCCATTTTTTTTCTTCTTTTTTTTTGTTGTCCTTTTATAAATGTTATCGATCAGATCCATATTTCGGTAATATGTTTCTGATAAATATCTGAAAAAATCAATCATGCGTGATTTAAAAATAACATAAATATCGATATCCCTGGCCAATTTACAATCAATGTGCATTGAGGGAGAGGAGGGATCTTGTAAATAAAGGCTTACACGTGTTTCTAATTTTGTAACGGTTCAACACATCTCCGTATGATCAGTTTTAGAGTCCGAATAATCACTAGAAATCAACCTCCAATATATATTTATCTTGCACGTATTTTACATATATGTACATTTTAATTGTTTGAAATATTATTAATTGTGTTAAAATTCCAGTCAGTGAAGAACTGTAAATTACGTGATAAACATTGCTTCCAAATTATTTTTAAGATAAAAAGCCTTTGTAAGATAATCGTCCCAGTGTACTGTTACATGAGCACGTGACATTCGAATGCTTGAAAGTTTAATAATTTGTTTCAGAAAATTCATATGTATGACAAATTATTCAAATGGTTTTAGTTAATCCTGATTATTGCATTTTTAAATCTTTAGAAATATCTGATTATAACCCAATTAAATGTCTGAACAGAGGGCATATTCTCGCATTAGTAAAATCTCACCCATCATTAAGGCATTGAAACGTTTATTAAATCATGGGGACAACTATAATATATCGTATAAATCATATCCCTCAGCTTAATATTTTACACTATCAGAGGAAAATATCTCAAAAGGCACACGAGACGATTTCCATTATCCCTGAGTTAACATAAATCGTTAAAATAAGTTTGTTTTCGTACAAATGGGAGAAACAAATGTTTTCGTACTTTATCCTGTTATCTGATAAATTTTTAAGCTATCTTAGTTCATCACAGTTTATAAGCTTTCGTCGTGTGTGTGTTAACGATGTATCTTTGCAACTGTTAATTCCATGTACCACGATAATAATGATCTGTTCAAAAAAAATAAAAAATAACCATCGTAAGATCACTGTCCGCTCTCAGTGTTGTTGGAAGATAACTAAATATAAGCTGGGCATTTTAAAGTTAGATGAGATCAATTATAACTAGCCTCCGGTGACAGGCTAGAGAGAAAAAAAACGAAGTCGGCCAATCTGTCTGTGAACTTGTCTTTCTCTTTACTTTTAAGGTGTTTAAAGTGAGCACGTGTCATATTTAATTTAATTTTTTGGATACAATCAAACAAACTCACGCTCTCTAAAAAACAGTGAAACTATGAGAACACAGGTCGTTGTTAAAGTCTTTTAAATTTATGTTATATCGTCAGATGGCACGAGGTCAATGCTCTACTGTGTCTTGGGATGAGTATTCAGTTTTTATTTTTACCGAAAGGCGGACCCCAAGGTATCTCAACAGATATCGTCGTAACGAGAGAGGGGAATAGCAAAGGGGTAAAATAAATGACCCCACCTGTTGTCTTTGAAGGTGCCTTCTTAAACGTTGCATGTTCCAAAGTACGTATTTTCATAACATAGTAAAGGTTTGAGGAAAGGAACATTAATGTTGACCATAGTTATGTAACAAAAGACCTGTTGCATGTTCCAAAGTACGTATTTTCATAACATAGTAAAGGTTTGAGGAAAGGAACATTAATGTTGACCATAGTTATGTAACAAAAGACCTGATGAGAAGACTTCAGCGCCATTTTTCAGCAGACTCTTTATTGAGGCTCAATCGGTGCTTACACTATTTGAAAATATTTGTTAAGTTTTAAGAATTTTGGTTAAATCTGCCCGGATTATTAGTATAAATTTGATCTACTTCTATACTAACAGCAGAATAACACCTACACGTTGTTCTTTTTCTGTTATTCGACTTATTAGTGT